AGGACTATAGCTCATGTAGTCATTTCTTATTAATTATTTTTCATAATTGATCATTTATAAATTATATTTATTACAGTAGTTTCCTCTCAATAAATAATAAAAGTTAACACATATAAACTGAGAACACTTGTTATTGTTAAAACACTGTGTAGAATTAAGTTGTTCTTGGTGAGCTTGAGGGAAAATTAAATTTAAATGGAGACATGAGTTTGCTGTAATTAATATTGTTTATTATTAAGAACTAAAGCAGAGCTACAGCCTACGAACAGGCTGAGCATGTTCCTGCAGCGGAGCTCTCCCTGTTGGACCTGGAGTTTGGTCTCYTGTGCAAGTTGTCCAAGTCTGTAGGATAACAACAATGCTCCGAACATGGTCTGTTCTGTTACAGCCATCAGTCAAGGTATCCTTCTGGGAAAAAGTCAGAGAAATGCTCCTACCCCTCATCTTAAGCAGCTCATATTACAACATCTCTCAGCGCTCACATCCTCTGCTGGGGTTTGAGCGCCAAACTCAAATGTCATTCATGTCAATAATCCTGCTAATTCAGTCATATCAATAAACCTCCTAACTTCCCTCTTTGTTTGTGAGTCTTTCCAGGTTGAATTAGTAAAAGTCAACTATACAATGTATGTTGTATCCGAGTCTGTACCTTTTTGTGCTGGTGGTTGCAGTTGGACAGACAGGGTCTGGACAGGATACAGGCACTGAGGATGGAGCCGAGCTTTGTTCTCAGAACTGACAAAAAGAACACAAAGATAACTGAAATTAACCTTTAGTTTAAATTATTACAGCAGTCACATTTTGATTTGTGAATACTCACATTCTGAGGGGTTTATTGGAAAATTTATGAACTTTCTTGTTTCTAATCATTATTAATATTAAAGGATTTATTTTGTATGTATCTAAAGCATTAATGCTGTCCATCAAATGGAAAAAGTTTGATTCTTTGTCTTGTTGATTAGCACACCCAGGTCTGACAAAGCTCCGCCCACAAATGCCAGAAACTTGAGAGCTCTGTAACAATCATGTTGTGCATCCAAAGATTCAAAGGTCAGCAGTGTTTTCATACCATGTTCAACATACGTGATGAGTCCCAGTGAAAGCAGGACGGCCCCCAGGTGAAAACTCAGACCCTGAAGACCACCAGAACAGAAACAGTCATCTACCACACACCTGAAAATATTTACCTGAGACCCAGGACTTGATAAAAAAAAGATTTCTGATGAATGAATGAATTTACCAAACTGTTACTGCTACAAAAAAGGCAACTGGATTTTTGTTTTGTAGTTACCAACATTAACAGGTCAAAAGCAGAAAGTGCAGAGTTCCACTGGCATGAGTTTCAGTTCTGATTGCAAACTACAGACAACATCAGTTTACTTGCAAAGTGCCTGATCAGAGTCAGGAACCAGAAGTTCTGAAGGTAACCAGGGGCTTAAGAGTGACAAATATCACATTACCTGTTGTTCCACCTCAAACAGAACAACTTCTATCAATGATTGTGCAGTATAAATCTCTGCCTACTACTTCTTTTTGTTTGTATAGAGACTGAATAGTCRGTAACAACGGGCCCACAATCTCAGACTCACGTACAGCAGGACTCTAGACTAACTTTTTGCACTGGTTGCACTGGTGCGCCAAACATTTTTTCTTAGGTGCACCCAAATTTTCAACCACGTCACATTTAACATCAGAGTTTTACAGGTTATTTTTTAAATCACTGTTCATTAAGGCAATATTAACTCAAAAATAATTCGTTAACAATCTAGTAAACATGAAGTTCTTTTTACGAACCAGAATTGTACAAGATCTATAACTTACTGAAAAGTATTTAAAGTGATTCTATAAAATTCCAAGTGCAAATGTTTAAGGGCTGAACATCTTGTAAACATCTTAAACATTTCATGGTTAATTTTTTTAGACACCTGCCCCTCAGATGGACAACTATGGATCTTTGGCCTTGGATAAACCAGAATGATGAACAGAGAATAAGGATTAATAACAGAAATATTAGCTACTGATATTTATTAAAAGGTTGTGCAGATTTTTTTAAAAAATAATAACACATAAAAGCCAGCAATTTAATTAGCATTAGTTAAATCTTTTTATCTTATATTATTTCACTTAAATATCTAATATGTCTAGTTTTATCCTCCTGAGACCCAGAAGAACCTATTTCAGATACTTGGAATGTAACTGCGGTGAAGTCGATTAAGTGCAAAAGCGGCCTGCCATACAGGTGAACTTCCTCATGCTGAAATGATCTGCAGCGCTCAGACCCCAACTGTTAAATTAACAAGATGAACTTAAGAGCGAGCAACCGTCCACATCTTGTTATCTCCAGCTAACAAGAAAGAACTGTTTTTCAGACTCCGATCTGGGTAAAAAAATTTAAAAAAAAAGATACGGTTGTGTGGCTATGCGTGTGCGCACGCGTGTGTGTACAGATTTTTGCTTCATTGTGGGTACAATCATTGACCATTTCCCCGGTACACAGCCAGGTGAGGGGTCAGGTGTGTAGTCTACCTGGGAGGTTATGGTTGGCTGTAGAATTTACAAGGAAATGAATGGAAGTCAATGCAAAGTCCCCATGAGGATAGAACAACAAACGTGTGTGTGTGCGGGAGGTGTGGAGCGGAGCCGCGAGCAGAGCG